CTCTCTCTCTCTCTCTCTCTCTCTCTCTCTCTCTCTCTCTCTCCACTGAAATCAGTCTAAGGAGCAGCGCCATGCCTACCAGCACCTTCTCTTCCCTCCTACCCTCCCCCTCTCCATCCTCTCCCCACCACCACCAAACGCTTTAAGAAACCTGGCCAGGAAAAGTGATCCAGAATCTCGTACTGCCATAGTCCCTGAAAACAAACACGGCGGGAGGGGCAGGCCCATCAGGCCCAACACTTCCCCTGGACCCCAAAGCAACCCCTCTACTCGGCGCAAGGGAGGGGAAGGATCTCGGGAGACCGGGAGACCGACTGCGGTTCCGCTGCTTCCAGCACCATCAGAGCAAACACCTGTTTCCAGGAAGATACGCGGCCAGAGGGAGAAGGGAGTCCCGGGGAACGGCAGGGAGGACGAGGTGAAGGGGCAGCTGGGGACGCAGGTAAAGGATGCGTCACACTTTACGCTTGGCAACCAGAGCCCCGGACAGGCAGGCGGCGAGTGGGAAGGACTCCGGGGTCTGGAAAGTTCAGAGAGGAGGGGTCGCGCCTGGCCAGCAGAGCCCAGGAGGGGGCCGGCGCGGAGGAAGGGACTGCGAGGAGAGACCAGAGGGAGGGAGGGAAGGAGGCCAGGCGGGCTCCATCACCTGCGCGCCCCGGCGGATGCAGCCTCGCAGGGGCGCACCAGCCCGCCTGCCTGCGGGTGACCTACCTGCCCACCGTCTGGTTGGCCAGCTGGCGCATGCGATTGAACTGCTTCTTCATCGTGGCCCCGCTACCGCGCTCGCCCGGGAGCTGGGGAAGGACGGAGCAGCCCGGAATCCGCCGCAGGGTTACATGGCTCCCGCGCGGAGCCTCCCGGGCGACGGCAACGGCGGCGGCACTGCGGAGCCTCCGGGAGCCGTCTGGCCCGCGAGCGGCTCCCTCCCGAGGGCACCACCGCTTACTCCGCCTGCCGCCGCGCCGCCTCCTGCCGCATCCTCCTCACGCGCGCCGCGATGCCCTCATAGCAACGCCCGGGGCCGCCCTCGGCGCCGACCGGGTCCACCCCGGCTGCAGCCCCCAACCCCAGCCGGCGAGCGGACCCGGGAGTCTCCGCAGGCAAGCTGGCCGGCTGGCCGGGTGGTCCCCGTGCGCCTGTGCGGAGAGCGCCGTGCATGCTGGGACTTGTAGTTTGTGCCCACCTTTCCTCTGTCCAAAGTTTGCAAGGGCAGTGAAGTGTGGTGAAGGAGGCTTAGCCACCGGCTTTGCGCTTTTCCATTTTTAGTAAAGTATATATACATTATATACATATATTATATTATATTATGCAATATAATATATATTTATTTTAAAATAACAAAGTCAAACCAAGAATGCAATAGCAAAAAAAACAGGATGAGCATGTCTCTTATTGCATTCAGGTGAATGTGAGGCAATCCTGTTCCAATTCACAGGGGATAGATCTATGCTAGCGTGTACGTGTCTTATTAATAAGGTCACCTCATTCATATTGGGCAGGGTTAAACTGGGGGCACAGAGATTGACGGTAGATTTCGAACTACGCATAATATTGCATCCCAGAAGCCTTAATTTTCACCAAACCCGGGAAGTAACCAGAAACCAACATAGAAGAAAGATGTAATCATAGTGGCAACGTATTTACCTGGCTAACATGACAGAGACAGCTTTTCTATATGGCTTAGATTCTGGTCCCAGAGCTATTCCCACCACCCTGCCACCACCAGAAGACAAAGTGGCATTAGATGCAGCTGCCCCAGAGCTGCAACAGATTGGCATCCGTTGTCTCTTGGAAAGGGGTGGTGGCTTTCTTCAGGTATTTTATCCTTAGGAAAAAATTGGTGGTTGCTGTTTTATGTTAACTTTGTTTATCAAGTAATAACGGTATTGTTGGGTGGTAGGGTCAAACTGATATGAGTTCCTATATTAGAATTCCCACCTACCTGTTATATAACCTTAGGAAAATTGCTTAAACTCTCTAAGCTTCAGTTTTCTCATCTCTAATGGAGTAATACTGCTGCCTGTTAGGTAGCAAAGAAATAGAACTATTTGTTAAATTACCAGTAATCAAATTACATATAAATTACTGTGTAGTATATTGTCACATTCATCGACAACAAATATGATGCTAATTAGCATAATAGAGAAAAATTCTATTCCTACAACAGAACTCCTATTCTGATGAATGAGAGAATTTTTTCAAAATGGGATATTTTGCATATGTTGATTATAGTTGCAAGATGTCCTAAATATGGCTCTAAGGATCTTGCTGGCCAGCTGAACAAAAGATGGTTTGAGGCATGTCTTGGCTGAGTGAACATGAAATCTTTAATTAATTGTGAATTTAGCCTCTGCTTATTAGGTCAGGCAGCTCCAGCCAATTAACAAGTGAAGGAATTATTTGCTTTTTAACTAATTTCTATGCCTATAATGTCAATATAATGTTTATACAAACTGAAATTCTTTTAATATTTTAAAAATGATTTTATATGCATAAATAATAGTGAGACGCTAAAGGCACTATATGATTTTTAGCAACACTATTCCTGGTGATAATTATGTTATCCACTACACTAGCCCCTGGCCACATGTGGCTATTTAAATTGAAATTAAATAAAGTTTTTTTTTTTTAAATTAGTTCTTCAGTCACCCTAACCCTGGACTTAACAATAACCAGTGAATTTTCTCCTTCCTATCCCAGGAAAAGAATGACAGTGCATAAAAAGTAGAAAAAGGATGTCAAGTCTACCTTTTTGATCTTTCAAACCAGGCTTCAGAAACATGTGTAAGAAAATATAGTTTTTAAGGAAAAAAAGTTTTGAGCTTCAGGAATATGAGCTTTGGACTTTTAATTTGATGATGAAGGATGTACTATCTACCTAAAGTACCGACAGCCTGGGCTGAGGATGTAGCTCAGAGGTAGAGTGCTTGCCTATCATGCACAAAGTCCTAGGTTATATTCCTAGTACCAAGAAGATAAAATAACCCACAGACTGGGGAGTGTTGAAATTGTTGATGGGGGAAATGGAGAAGCACAAGAGAAAGGAAAGTGTGTAGATCTATCATTGTCCAAAAATTCMTCTGTTTGCTGCTATACAAAAAAATTGTACTTTATGTTCCCAACTGAGACCAAAATCAGCCATGTGATTTTCTTTGGGCAATGAGTATTCATTCATTCAGTGGAGGACATAATTTTATGTCTGAGTAATATATTGAGTATGCCCATAGAAGTGATTTATACCACTTCCAAATTCAAAAGTTTTAAGAGTCACTCTATGATTCTGTTCTGTTCTTTTTTTCACCCTACCATAATCCCAACAATGGGTTGGTTAGGTGCTGCCATGGAGCAGAGATTATCCAGTTAGAGTGAAAAAAGTACCTTGGCTGTTCTAAGTCATATATTTAGGGGTTGTTTTTTAGTGCAGTATAATTGAGTCCAAGTTGACTGCTGTGTAGGTATCACCAATAAAGTAGTTTGTATCTTATCCCTTCATGTGGTCAATACTTAAGTTGAGGCAGGTGAGCTGAAGGCAGACCTATCATAAACCTTTGAAGGATCTGGACAACTTTGAAGGATCTGACCTCTACTTCATTTTTTAAAAAATTTGTTCTGTTTAGATATCCATGACAGTGGAAGGTATTTTACATATTATTCATACATAGGGTATAACTTATTCTAATTAGGATCACATTCTTATAGTTGAACAAGGTGTAGAGTTACACTGGATGTGGATTCATACGTGAACATAGGAAAGTCATGTTTAGTTCATTCTACTGTCTTTCCTATTCCCATCCCTCCTCCCTTCCATTCATTCCCCTTTGTCTAATACAATGAACTTCTATTCTTCCTTCCTATCTCCCCCTGCCTTACTGTGTGTTAGCATATAATATCAGAACATTCAGCCTTTGGTTTTTGGGGATTGGCTTATTTCACTTAGCATGATAGTCTACAGTTCCAGCCATTCACTAGCAAATGTCATAATTTCATTCTTTCTGGTGCAACTACTCTGGAAAGCAGTATGAAGATTTCTCAGAAAACTTGGAATGGAACCACCATTTGACCCAGTTATTCCACTCCTTGGTATAGGCCGAAAGACGTTAAAATCAGCCTACTAAAGTGACACAGCCACATCAATGTTTATAGCAACTCAATTCACAGTAGCTAATCTATGGAACCAAACTAGATTCCCTTCAACAGATGAATGGGTAAAGAAAATGTGGCATATACACAGAATGGAATATTACTCAACTATAAAGAATATTACTCAACAAAATACAACTTCTCACTTGCATCAACAATGCTATATTACTCAGACATAAAATTATGTCCTCCACTTCATGAATGAAAACTAAGCTAGGAGTAGCCAAGCTCACAGAGATCCTCTGCCTTCTAAGGCACAGTAAAGTTGTCTATACCACAGTCCTGTGGCAGCTCCAAGGTTCCTGCACTGAAGCCAAGTGCAATGATTGTGTGTGTGTGTGTGTGTGTGTGTGTGTGTGTGTGTGTGTGTGTATAGGCACGCATGCGCATGCGTGCATCTGCCACAACGATTACAACAAAAGTACCTGAAAAATGGATGTGAAAAGAAAGTTGTTAGGGTCAAAGATGGTCAGGAAGCAGCAATGGCAAAGATGTATAATAAAGAAGCCCCAGTTGCCTGGGATTTAATTTATTCTGTTTAGAAAATAGACTTAAAAGTTAACTTCATTTGCAAAGGAAAAAAAAAGGAGAAAAGGGAGTAAAAGGAGGAGAAGGAAAACTTTATTTCTTATATACCTGACTGTGACCTATGGGAGGGCTGCACCTTCCTGTACCTGCTGATCTTCACTGTTGTTGCTTTCGACAACAAAACATGGGCTTCTCGCTTGCATCAACAATGCTATAGTATTATTTATCTGAAATTAGTTTCCTTAGAAATCTGATATGCCACTTGAGAGGCCCTGAATAGGAATGGCTTTGGCCTCTTCTTTCTGAGTGCATGCATTCACTAGAGCTGCTCTGTCAGACCCAAGAATCACTAGCTACATTGTGGTTATTTAAATTTAATTTTAAAATAGGTTAAATAAAATTAAAAAGTCAGTTCCTTAACTACTATTAACCATATTTCAAGTGCCCTATGATCATGTGTTGCTTGTGGCTACCATAGTATACATAGTATAAAATAGAATGTTTCCATCCTTACAGAAAATCCCATTGGGCAATGCTGTGCTAAAGAGCCAGATTCAGAATATAGGGGCCAGCCAAAGAATGAAAGCAGAACTAGAATTCAAGCTCGGGCTATCTGAGGTCTTGGCCTCTCCAGACTACTCTTTCCTTGCTTACTTTGTAAGGCTATATAGTACAAGATCTCTAAGCTGTAAGTTTTGGGGAATCAACTAATTGATCAATCCATTTGCTCAATAAATGGTTGTTGATGTAGATATTCCTAAGTCTTAGAGTGTTTACTGCACAAAAACAAAATTCAAGGCTACAATACTACTGAAGAAGAGTCTGTGTCCTTTTTGGATCCCAACCAACTTTATAAATGCAGGCATCAAACTGGCATGATTAAAACATATCTGCTAGTCCAAGGTAATTTTTGAACAGAATGATAGATGTTCCCATCTTGGGCATGGTAGATTGCATTATTAACTCCAATTTTCAGCCCTCCTTGGATCTATACCCTTGAATGGTTTTATCATGGGCAGAGTGTATTTCGGACCTAATATCTTTGTCTTGACCATGAGACTACTATAGTCTTGTGTAGTCCAATAGCATACAGGTGGAAGAGACAGGTTGTGCCTCCAAGCTATGCACTAACAGACTCTTCACATTTTCCTCTTGTCTTTTAACACATCTTCCACTGCCATAAAGACCAGCAGGTAGCTGTTTGTCTCTTATCTTTGTCTCCAGAATTGAGCACTTCTGGAGCAGGTCTGATAACAGACAGTAACTAAAATCAGAGAAGTAACTAACAAATTGATTCCAGGAGTGTTATTTTAAAAATAAAGAAAAGTGAATACATATGAAATAAGGGGAAAAGAAAGCTAAAACATGTAAAACTAGAAATGAGAAAAAGGATATAATAGACACACATACAAAAAAATAAGAGGA